ACACAAAGAGGAATTCATTCACTTAGTTGTTATGGGATGTAGTCAGAACAGTTGTCAATGGCAGAGCTGGGATAAGACAAGACTATCCAAAGTGGCCAAAAAAGGATGGACAAATGTTGCACAGGTTCTGTTTCCACAAKAAATAATTTAATTCAGAAAGGTGTAGAGACAATTTACCTAGGGCTCCTCCTTGTTGGGGAATTTTTAACTGAGAGTAATTTACCATTTTGACTGAGACTGAGTAATCTCCTCTGGTTCAAGGAGAAAATAATCGAGATATATTGTCCCATTTTCTTACATGCTACAACTGAAAGCAAGCCAAGTCAGTCCTGAATATTAAGGAGTTTCTTTTCTCACTGAAACTGTTCCCCTACTTTRCACTCCATTGTTCCCTACTGTTTATTTAATCAAAACATCACAGAATATTTGAGGTGGGAAGGGACCTCTGGAGATTGTCTTGTCCAACCCCCTGCCTAGACAGGGCCACTTATAGCCAGTCACCCACGACTTCTGCTTTTGACATCAAAACACGTAGGCTAACCACAGAAGGGGAGAAGGCAAAGCAGAATTTTTATTTTCTTTTCTTGTCATTGAAACACTAGCAAARCACAATTCAGAAGCAAAAGGGTTTTTTTTCTTTCTATTAAAGAAAATTGTCCAATGCTTCATGAAGATCTCAACAGGAGATTGTACACTATTGTTTAGGACAAAATTGTTAGATATTTATATGCATGCATTTGTCTTTTTTCGTCTTGTATTCTCAATCTGAAAATGCTTTATAGTGCTTGGACTGGTCTATCAATGAGTGATCTCCTTTCTGCCATACCARTTGTCCCCAGACTGATCACTGTCTTAGGGTAGCCTAAAGATGTTAGACCACAGGAAGGAAGTTCTTCATGTCTTGCTGAATAARGTATTCTGGGTTCAAACAAATTGCTTTAAAAATCAATAGAAAAATTTGGTTGTGAATGTGGAAGAGAGGCTGACAGAATGCACTGTATGAAGAGATTTCCCTGTAATGGAAGGTTTRAAACTACAAAGAAAAACATTGTATGTACTGAAAGAAGGAAGGGAATTATGTTGGGTTTTCTCGCTTATTTTTTAAAAAAAAACAAGATTTAGCTGACAACCAATACAGAACTAATAAAAGTACCTTTCTAATATGAAAATGTAGCTGTCATTCCATGTAATAAAATAAGCCAATGTCCTTCCTCCAAGAAAAATGCAAAACCTTAAAAACCCTTAAAATCATTTAAAAATCAATAGGACTCTYACCGAGTAAATCCAAAGTCTTCCTAGCACTACTAAGATGCCATCTGATGTAATTGTTTATGGTTATTAGGCTTTTGCCCTTTTTTTTTTAACATTTTGTGGTTTATTAAATATTAATCCCTTTTTTCCATTTTCAGTTTACTGTCTAATAGAATGTAAGATTCTGGCAATTGGCTAATTAAGGAAGCAAAAAATAAACATTATAAAAGTTTACCTATACAAATCCAGGGTAATGGAAGATGTGCCCACCTAAGAGCAAGAGCTACTACTTTACTAGAAAGAGCATTTACCACACCTCACATAGAGAGTTTGCAAAAAAAAAATGAAGCATAAAGCTAAAAAAGATAGTGGTGAAGACTTCAGCARTTGTATGAAGTTAAAGACTTCAAAATCTCTACAGAAGTTATATCTACTGAGGCAGAAAGCAWTTTTGACAAGTCTCTAAATTGCAACCCCTGTGTTCTTGCTTATAAACACTTTTACACAAGCTTTCAGCATTCAGTGATGTAGATCCTGAGATRTCTCCTTAAGGTCTCATTGCTAATGAGAACATGAAATGGCCATTGTGGTCATGCCTCACTTATTTTGTGGATGTCTCCCTCCATAATGGTGGTTACTGATTACATTTTGGCACTTGGTATGTACCACTTGCTGTTTTTCAATACTGTTGCAATGGTGTCCTTAAAATTATGAATGACAATAAAAGAGGTCTAGGAATTTTAAAACTGAAACCACCCTATTTCAGAAAAGGAAAAATGTGAAGCTCACTGTTGTATGATGTGACACAGCACATTTCCCAGAACAGCAAAATCAGCTGTTTTGTGCCTACTTGTTCTATAACTTTTTTTTTTTTTTTTTTAAGGTAACTATAACTTGAAACTTAGCCATATGGATGCTTGCATCATCCTGCAGAAGAAACATCTGACTGTCTATAAACATTTGTATGGCTGTTTTCAACACTACCCTTTTCAGTTACTCTACTGTTGCTTGACTAGGGCACACTGCACACCTGTATAGAAGTTTATCCTATGGATAAATCAGGTGACTTTCAATTACTGTACRAATAAAGTTTCTGTAGTTCGCTGTAGAACAGAATAAGGAAGGTCAGAGAAAGTGCTGAGAGGGTTAGAAAGCTGAGTAGGACACTTTATTAAGATTAACAGCTGCGGACTCGATGTTGCTAATGGCAAGACGGATTACACAAAACAGGTGAATCCTTCCACGAAGTCATATCTCTGTATTCCTGATTATAAGGAGCTTAYTCATAGCCCTGTAGCAAAACCTACACCCTTCTCACCCAGCAGGATTTTTAAGTGCTCAGTCAGGCTGGCTGGCTGGTTGAACGGATGAATCCTGCTAGCCAAGATCACCTCAGACTTACCCTAATGTGCCCGCTGTTATTGCTGACTGCCTGCCTGTGTAAGCATTGATGGCAGACAGTCTTTATTCCAGAGTACAGGGCAGACAATCCAAGACTGAAAAAAAAAAAACCCTGAGGCTTTTTATTAAAACACGGCTATTTACTGGGGAAAATAAATAAATATATGAATATGCAGGCTTCCTCATCATTCGCCTTCCAGAATAGCTGTGCTGTGCTGCTCAATGCTGTCCCAAAGGCGGTAAGGATACCCGCCCTATTAAAAGGTGCCCTAAAGACAAAAGRCCTCCCGCCTACGCCAGCACTGCCCCCAGCCCGCCGGCAGACCCCGGGCTGGGGCTCAAGAACCGATCACAGTCCCAGCGGGCTCCGCGAGTGCGCACCGCSGCTCCGCGCCCGGCCGCCGGCACACAGCCATCGGTGCCGTCCGACCTCCGCTCACCCCCGCCCGTGCTYTTCCGCACCCGCGCAAAGGAGGATCCCGGACTGTATTTCATTTTTAATTGACATACAGCCTCCTCCCCAGCACCCCCGCACCGCCCCCCTCCTCCCCCCGCCCCGGCTGCGCTTCCAGATACACTTTTCTTGTTGCGAACGGCGTGAGCATCAGGTGCGGGCAGGGAGGAGCGGAGCGGAGCCGACCCCGCCCCCGAGATGCCGCTGCGGCGTGGGGAGCCCGGGGCAGGGGCTGGGGTACCCCGGCTCCCCTGTCTCTGCCCCCATCCCCGCGGGGGTCGGCGGCTTTCCCGCGCTGCAACAGCGGTGCAGAGGAGCCGGGGGGATCCCATCCTGCTGTCCCTGCACTTCTGTGGCACAAATCTTCCCTTCTCCTCGTCCCTCCCCGCAGCCCCACCGGTGCGCTTGGTTCCTTGTCGATTCTTGCCGCCCTCCCCTTGCTCGGGCCGGGAGCGCCAGGGCCGCGGCGCTGCGGGAGTCAGGTGCCGGCTGCCGCGGCTCTGCAGGGCCGGCTCCCGGGGCCAAGAGGGGACATAGYCCCTTCTGTTCACCCACTCCTCCTCCCCTTTTGTTTTCCACTGAGACCATTCCAGGTTCTCTCAATACTCTTATTAATATGTTTTYTCCACTGTATTCTCCCCCCATCCCTTTCCGCCCTGACCACTAGCCCTCCGCAATCTCATTGAAGGGATGGGTGTTGGTGGTAGGATGTAGCTGGGGAGGAAGATAAGTCTTAGACGCGGGGGAAGGGCGGGAGAGAAAGGGAGAGATTTTGCAGTCCTCTCTGGGCTGATTGGAAGAGGCAATCTTTGTATYTGCGGCCGGAGGATTAGCAGATAAACTTTTATTGCTCCCTTTCTTTTTTTTTTTGCATGTGTGTGTGCGTGTCTTTATGCGTGCGTGGGTGTGGGTGTGTAGAGGAAGAAGTCTCCTCGAGAGGGGGAAAATCTTTTCAATTTCCCTTTGGCAGGTGCAGGTCAAGGAGGAACTCATGAGCGTTTTGCCTGATCCGTGAACTGATCAGGAGAGGGGAAGCGATCCCTCTCCTCTTASCCTTCCTTTCCCAGTTTTGAAATAATTCCTTCCCTACCATCACCGCCCTCCCGTCCTTCCCTTCCCCTCCCCTTCTCCTTCCCCTTCCCCTTCCCCTGCACTGAATGGAAGAGTCTCCAGGGTTTTCTTCTGCTTCTCGCCCTGGACTGGAGAAGTGAGGGGGCATCTATCTACCCTCATCCGTCTCTTTCTCGCTCCATCCATTCCCGAGGGGATTTCAGACCGTGCAATGTCTTTTCAGCCTCTTGCCGCTGCTACCACTTGATACTATGCTACGCGCAGGGAGAGGGTTTGGCAAAAATGGATTTATTTGATTTTAAAGGATTTCTTCTCTAATAAGGTTCTCATTGCACACAAATATGACTAAATCCCCTATTTGGTAAATCTTTCTCTACCCCACCCCTCCTCTTTGGGCTCCCTCCCGCCCGCCCCCACCCCTTCAGAGGAGCAAGCACAGGGAGCTGATGACGGACCCATTAATCCCTTCTTCAATGCATCAAAAGAAGCCGAAGGGCTGGAAGTCGCTGGGCTCGGAGTCCTGCAGGAAATGCTTCGATCTGCTTTTGGTTCTGTATGAAACTGGTGACTAGGGGCTCGGCTCGCTCCGCCGCCGCCCGCCGGCACCTGGATGCGCGGGCCRCCGCCGCCGCCGCCGCCGCCTTGCCCGCCGCCGCCGCGATGCACCGCTCGTGGCGGTGCTGGTGATCGCCCGGGTGTGATGGGATTGAGCCGGCCGTGATCATTTGAAGGCGGTGAGGGAGAGCGAAGGAGAGGAAGGGCTGCTCCGCTCTGCTGTGTGTGGGCTTCGGGATTTTTTTCTTTTTTTTTTTCCTTCTTCTTCTTCTTCTTCTTCTTCTTCTTCTTTTCCTACTTCCATCCTCTCCCCGCCACTGGAAGTCCTCCCGTATCTAAATGGAATTAGTGGAGACCGAAGCCCCTTGTGTAAGGAACAGACATGACCCATGGGCGCAGCTTCCTTCACAGTGAGTATCTATGTCCCCCTTGCCACCTCCCACCCCCGCCGAGCTCCTCCGCCGCTCACGGGCTCCTGCCCTCCGCTGCCTCCACACCTGGCGTAACGGGACACCCAGAGTGGGGGCACACTCCCCCACGCACACACGGCATCCTCTCCCCCGCCMCGCTGCGGTGCGCCGGAGGGGAGCCGGTGTGTGCCAGCGCCCTGGGGCGGCGGGACACGCTCCCGAGGGTCGGAGGCTTTCACCTGGGCGCGACGCTCCTGGTGGCTTTTGGCGTGCCGGGAGAGAGGGGAGGGGAACTGCTCCCCGGTGCTGCGGGGCCCCGGCCGTGGCTCGAACCGGCAGCCGAGGGTGAGGGGGCGCGGGGCAGCGCCGAGAGCCGCGGAGAGGGCGGGGGCGGCCACACCGGGCACGGATCCCGGAGAGCTGCGGAGCGGGGGCGGCGCCTTCGACTGAAATCCCCCAGGATTAGCAAGGAGGCACCGAAATATATCACCTACWCTTCCAAGACCCCAGGGGCCTCCGGCTGAGCGGTGGGACCCCTTTCCCGCCTCTGCTTTGTAGAGGGTCCACTGTTGTGAAGGGGATCGACTGGCCACAGTTCTTCCCAGCACTTCTCGGCGCGCCCACACCTGTACAATAGCGCTATGGCCAGGTATCGCTTGTCCAACAACTCTGAGCCAGGCTCAGCCACGTCTGTGCCAAATCACAGCCTCCTAAAAGCCTGGCCAACAGATAAATCACTTAATGTACAGCTTGTAATGAAAAAAATGCACGGATCCAAAAAGATGGAAAGATGCGTAATCAGAGTGGCACTAGAAAGCACGATTATAATTACACYCGTGATTAGGAGGGAAAGGGGGTGGAAGACAGTAAGAACGCAACAAGAATTTTTGTGGAAACTTCTTTAAAATAATTCCCAAACCAAGATAATCACAATATTGTCACTATGTTGCCAATGCTTCCCAAGTGACAGTTTTCAATGAGTGAAGATTCCATGGTTGGTGTGTTTGGGGTCCCCCCCCCCCTCCTTTGAAAAGCACTGTTCTTTTTCTGTGGCTTGAGAAAGAAAAAGGTGAGGGATTATAAAATAAAGTGGTCTGCCTTGGCAGCTTAAATAAAATGCATTGTGTTGGCTTTTCCCAAAAAGAACACAATTTTAATTACTTTCTGGCAACATGCATATTTTGGTGCTGCTGCT